ACACTCACTTTTCTCTAGTAGAAATGACCCATTGTGAACCACAACCAGTCCAAAACCAGTCCAGGGCCAGTCCAGGTCATTGAACCAGGGCTTTAACTGCCATGGAAAGAAATCAACCAAAAAGGCCTACATTTGAATTATAGATAAAGGCAGATCTACTAACATTTGTTTTTTAAAAGGTGTTTTACCAAAAAAATATGACACATACATAAACCACAAATAGAAACAGAAAAAATTACTGCATAAAGACCAACAATATACATAGGTGTGATTACACTTCCAGAACTAGAGTTCTGGATCTGTGTAGCACTGTATCTCACCGCAAATTTGCCTTGGGACATTAACATTCATCCCATCTTATCTTATTTTAGCGTTGACTTTCCCATCCCACACATGTTTTTATGTAATAATTAAACCCTGTCTCTGCACTTTTACTGTTCTGTACTTGTTCACAGTTGTGTCTGCGAAGTGGCTGTTCAGTGGGTGAGCGTGGTTGGCGAATGCGGCTGATGAGCGATGTGATAAAGACTTGTGTGTTTATTTAGTGCACAGATGGAAACAGAGCAGACCCAGGAGCAGCGCGTCCTGACCAAACATGGCAGTCTGCACACACACACACACACACACACACACTGCTCACAAAAGTCCATCTGAAGCCTACACTGTCTGTCCACATAAAAACTCTTAAGGGTGGCCTGACATGACAACAGGTGGGGGCTGCTCTATGTTATCATTTGCGACTGATGACGCCATTGCTAAAATTAGATAACAAAAAAACAAATGGGTTGCTAAATGATACACAGGGATAAACCTATATGAAGAGTTTGTGTAAGCCCTCAGTCGTACAGGGATTAGTCAAAGCAAAGGAAGGTTTCTCACCCATCATCTGTACTTCTTAGCAACGTCGGGAAAACTTGCTAAGAAGTACAGATGATGGGTGAGAAACCTTCCTTTGCTATATGAAGAGGTCAGAAAACTCCATTTGATAATGTGTCAAAAACTTGTATTCCTCAAGCTTCAGCATCTTCAAATGTTTGGTTTTTTCGAAAGTACATAAGAAAGTATTTGCTCGAGAAGGTATGGTACTAATTGATCTGATTTTTTTTTTTTTTTTAAACCCACTAGGTAAAGGGTAATTGCAAGCCTTTTGTAATATTATTTTTTATTTTTATAATGGTACTTATCTGTTTTGTTTCTTTTTCAAATAAACTGTATACTTCCTGAACATTTAAATGGCATGTCTTGTGTTACAATTATTCTTCCTGGTGAATATTTAGTGTTGTTTTTAAATGAGGAAAGTTGACAAGAAAAGGGAAGTCCTCCTAAATAACTACTGTTGTAATTTAGGGCTATACAAAAATGAATTGAATTGAACTGAATTAGAATTGAATGAGTTACTAAAATTCTGAAAATGGGCCTTGCCACGACCTCCCACTCCATCACCAGCCACTCGTTGAGTCCTTGTCCACTTGGAGACTGGATTCTATATGAGAAGACAATTCAGGCAAAAGAAAAGCAATCATCTGACCAATATTACCCAATTTGTGTTTCACCTTCAAGAAAATATTATCCTCGTGTTGTTCTGGTTGGTCAGGTCAATAAATATTGTGCGACTCAGATGATCTAATCAAATCAAACAATGGCTTAAAAGAAACCAGTCATGTGACCACTGGACTCTGAACTTTTCCCTGTGCTGTCTGTATTGTAGTGTTATTTTGTATTTTATTGTATTGTATTTTGTCATATATTTTCCTGCCTAGGGACTACGAATGAAAACTAGCTTTGTAGCTATAATCCGGCATATTTACATTTATTTTATACTGATGTTCATTAATGTGCATTGTCCCTATCAAATAAATAAATAAATAAAATAAATAAATCTTTTTTCCTATTTCATATTTCATATCTACGACCCATGTCCAGAGGAAGATGAGGGACAACGAGGCAAGATGTTTAGTCAAATATTGGATATATTAGCTTGGCTTTTGTCTTTCCAAAGTGCTAATCCACAGTGATTCAAATATTCTCTAAATAAATACAAAAAAATCAAGCTAAATTTCATGACTTTTCCTAACTTGACCCGCCCTGAGTCATTTAGACCCTTTTAGACCCTTATTTAAATGCAGCTGTTGTAGAATATGTTTGGGATGGATGAGCTCATGATGCTACATAGTTGTGTGTTTGCTGCACTGATTGAGTTGTGCGTCTGGCCTTTGCACATGTCCCAAAGTAACGTAAGCTGCTATTTGTATCTAAGCCCTGTGTTTAGTGAAGCACAGGTGTTTGAAGGGTTGGTCTGGAAAACAATAGATTCTAACAAGGCCATGCACACACAGCACAAGCAACAGCCTTGGAAACGGCATTATACTTTGGCATGTTAAAAGTCTTGTTTTTGTCTCAAAGAACTGGTCACCTGTTGTCCCTCACCAGCCATGACAACGTGACTAAAATTGGTTCCATCCCGCCTTCAAATAATTTCGTGGAGGTACCTTGTATTTATTTAATCATATTTATAGATAACAACCGGCTTGTTCTTAAAAAATCGCTTCAGTTTGTGTTTAATTCCAGCCCACCCCAAATACAATAATAGTTCCATAGCTCTAAGTCCTTCTATAGTTCACACACACTAATCCAAAGCTCGCTGGTATGATCCCAATTCATCACAGCTTCTGCCTTTGTGCCCTTAAGCAAGACAGATTTCATTCATATTGATTTTGCTTATTAATGTGGAAACACATTGATTATAGTGTAGATGACACGTTTTAACTATAGTTTTTCATAATGTATATGTTGGTGTTGTCTTACCCTGGAGATGGTGAGGGGCTGGTTGAAGTCCTTGCCCCCGGTCAGACGGAAGCCCCATGGAGCGGGCCCCTCTAGCACGACGCTCACTGGCATGTCCCCGGTGCTCCTGTCCGCTGAAGCTGCACTCGGACTGATCTGACCGATGGGGAATGCAAGAGGAGAGTAAAGGGAGGGGAGTGCTGTGAGCCCACCCATCTGGAAGAAGTGCTTTTGAACCTCAATTGTATACAAATCAATATGGATAGATAGAGTGATAGATAGACAGATAGAGTGATACTAATCGGTTGTGTAATGATGTCATCACACCGACCACACAAGGTATTTAATGTTACACTGAGGGCAAAAACCTTAGAAATATTAAAAACACATTTGTTTTTCATTCATATAAAACTGTATGTGTCTGGAACAAAATGAGTTTGTAAGTAAATCCTAGACCATACCAGGCAGACGTCTGCATCCCCCTGCTGTGATGTTGTCAATAAACTGGATTTTTCTGCCTGTAATTTGTCACAAACTGCTTTCTGATCAATAATCTATATTGTTCCATTTGTTTATATGAATGACAAATGGTGTTTTCCCAGCAATTAAGTCAATATAGAATATATACCTGCATTCTGGTCTTTTCCAATGTGGTTTTACTTGTATCTTGTTTTAACACATTTGTCATTGGAGTTAACAAACTGAAGGTGCATTGCTCTGCTGTCCTGGTGGTGCAACTTTACCTGCTTTTTACGATAGATGTTACGGTAGATGAATTGTCGCTCAGTTTTGTTTTCATGCGCATTCCTCGATCATGGATGATTCTAGTGCTTGAAAACTGTTTGTTTACAGCCTTTCCACTTGCTTCTTTTCAACATAAACAGACATTTTAATGACAAATCAGATCAACATTGAGACATAAAAACAGCATTCAGATGAACAAAAGCAAAAGGCGGGCCACCACGAATTGAGGAATACACCATTTTAGTTTCATATCGGAACAGAATAGTTTACTGCCTTTTGTACCAGTCTTCTTCTGACCTTAACCCTAACCCTAAACAGTGTTTTCCCAACTAGTGGTACCTGAACCCATTGTACTACTACTCATAATACTCCTGCAGTTCATAATCTAAGTTTATGGAGAAGGTAAGCAAAAGTATCGCTTACAAATATTTTTGGGGGCTGTTTCTGATTGATTGAAACATGCAATAGAATATTGAATGAAAAATAATTTCATCACACTGGGTTTGGAATTTCTGGCGTGATGAAGTGGTCCAGTTTGCAGAGAAAAACATGGATAGGCATGTTCATGATTTTGAGTGAGATTTTCTTGTTTGGACTCTGGGAAACGTGTCCTCCTTCCTCCCCCTCTGTGAGCGTGGCTTTAATGCTCCTGTCCTTATTTGGTGTGGACATGCAGTTTGCTTTCAGATCTATTCAGCCGCTGTCCACCACTATCCTGAGCACACATCCGGACACTTCATAACTCTCTCCTGGTCTGGATCTTTGGACACATCATCCTCCACATGTTTATCTCTACAATTTAATGTCAAAACTGTGACTTGAGATGTGTCTATGCTGAAAGTGGCAAAGAAAGTATAGGCATTTAACTTTCAAGAGTTAGCTCCTCACCTGTGATGTCTCAAAGGGTTTTGCACTTGTCCCTTCAAGTACGAGTCTGACGGTGAGTGCGCAGACTTTAATGCACTTGTTTCCCCTTTTAACATGTTTTCCCTTTTAGTTTGTTTATTTTGTAAGGATCACACTGATTTTATCCTTCAATCATTGTGTGAATCATTGTTCCAAGCAACAAAACCACAGTATAGACCTATTCTGATACGATGCAGGTAAGCAGGGGGCTGACCTTAACTAGAAAAGTTAAAATAATGTAATATGTTGGAAAAGCATGTTTGAACACATCAAGAATTTGTATATAAGTTGGATTTTATTGACAGTACAGCTGCATAATCCAACAAAAGCTAGAATACAGTAGAAACACCATGTGTATGCTTTTTGACAATCATTGCTACTCATTCCACAGAAAAATGCCACAACTGTAAATTTGACTGAACTGCACACAGACCTGATAAAACTACTTATGATTTTGTATTAGATCAGCTATACAAACACATGGCTATTCATAGAGGTCTATAAGTAGAGAAAAAGTCTGGAAAAAAAAAAAATGGAGCAGTGTTTATCTTAATTCAGTCAAATTCAACGTGCCCTCTGAAACATTTCATTTATTTAGTTCAAATTTGTGGGCAGTTTTATGCACTGAAAGGGAACAAAAACCTATGATAAAAGTGAGCATTAATCATTATACATTTTCTTTTGATTTATGACATACCGGATTTAGTCCACATTTTTGGTCAGACGATGTGTGTGTGTGGGACAAATCACACAAATTGAAACACTTGCACCTAGCTTTGAAGCTTGGTTCTATCCGTAGTTTTCAATTGCATGTGTGTATATTTGGCCTGTAAAACAAACAATACATGTTGGGAACAAAAGGTATTCCAGCTTTAATTATATAAAATGTCCATACTTGCCCATATAATTTCCAACATGGAGAAGAGCATTCACTTAAAGATTTAGCACCAGTTTAAAAACAAATAAATGGTGATGAGTAAAGAAAAGAGAGGAAACAGATGGTGGGTGACAAAAACATGACTTTATAACACAGTGGATGCTGGCCATGTCACAGCACATACAAAAGGCTTACAAAACCCCACACACACAAAGTGAGTGATGTGACGGACGGTGGTGCCACAACCAAATACATTTAAGGTGCTTGCTCTGTCGCCAGTGTCCCTCCTATCGTGACAAAAACAAAACATACATCAGGACGTGAGGTTGACATAACATTTCATAGCATAATAAGGGGTTCAAAGACGTTCAAAAACATAAATAACATCGCTCCCAAACAAGCTTTTCAAATGTGGCTGATAAATATGTCAGAAATATAGTTGTGTATATTGAGAAGCCACTAATAAATATAATACCTAAAGGTTCAGGAAGTCTTGCATACACTTAGTGGATTCTCAATGTCCGCTCCACAGTGGCCGCTAGTGTTGAAAAGTAAAAACACAAACTTGTTCATGTTGTTAAAGTGCATCATACTAATGGCTAAACACTGAAGATAAAAATAAAAACGTACATTCTAACTCAAATATTTATGGCAATATCTGCAATGTGAATAAAAATATTTTGTGTCATATCTCTGAGTTTTGAAGCATCCACCAAAACAAGATTTATTAAAAAATGACGAGGTTCTGTCATACACTTAATTATGTTGGAAATTAAAAATAAAAAGTTTTCACAAATCCATGTCTCCATTAAATAGGAATTAGACCTTAGAACAATCCAGATATATCATCAATACCATGTTTTGATTTCAGTCTTGTTGCATTAATTAAAGAAAATGTTTATACAATTCAAGTTCTAAGATGACCAAGGACACAATGCACATTTCAAACAGCTTATCAAATTCACGTTTTATCAAAGCAAAAGGCTTTTGGGAAGTTTAACAGGACGACACAGTAATATTTGGCAATTTGCCTTCAGAATCATACAAAATATCTTCATGTCATCTCTGCTCTTCTTTGCTCATTCTTTATATATTGTGTAAAAAGGGGATTAGAGCCCAAAGTTGGGTGGACAACCCGATAAAAAAATAAAATGTAAAAAGACATTTCAGACCAGTCTTCTGTCTTGTGGTGGCTAGTGAGAGCTTAATGTTCAGTGTGAAACTGAGCCCAATGCCTCCCGGATCTGGAATCATTATTATAGCTGCTTGACGTAGTTCCCTGGGAAGGTTCCAAACAACTTGCTCCTTCGGGATGTCCCTTCACACAAACACAAAACAGAGGAGCTGGGTTAAAAACACAGAGTCACTGCCATCTGGTGGACAAGATGAAAAGTGTTCTCATAACCAAATAAAATAATAATCAAAATAGTTATTTCTATTGAATAATTCATGTTCATGCAAACGTTTAGTGCATTATTTGCCTTGGTGATCAACAAAATTAACAACAACAAAGAACAGGTTATAATATTTTGGACTTGCCTAACCCGGTTAATAAACATCTGACATCAGTCTGATGTAGCAAATAATATACAGATAGAAAAACATCCTCATTAAAATAAGGTTGTAGTGAAAGTCCCACTGAAGTCTTTTTCAGAGCAGCCTGGTCGGTTTTATGGGGGTGTTATGGGGGACACGTTTTTAGTGAAAGGAGAGAATAGTAGCAGCGGGACGAAACCTACGTAGACACGGAGAGAACATGCAAACTAAAATAATTCAGAATATTCTATTACGTGTTATAAATAATATTATATGTAAATGACTGTTGTTTTTACCTACAAACCATCCATCGTCACACTTCTCCATCACGTCCACGATGTCTCCCTCTCGCAGCTCCAGCTCATCCTCGTTGCGGGGCAGGTAGTTGTACAGGGCCTGGAACCTGTACCATAAATACCCTTCTCTTATTCCTTTTTACATTCACCATTAGGTTTGCAGTGAGATTTTATGTTAACAAGTTAAAAAAGGTAAAAATATCACATGTATTTGGGCTCAAACACTCTAAAAAGGTTTTTTGAACACATAGTTAATAGTTAGGGGGTCTGTCAGGTAAATGACAACTTTTATACTTTGTGGTAATCATTTACAAAGCATAAGAATTAAGAGTACGTTCAAAAACCCCACTCAATTCAATGGAATTATTAAACTAGTCAGACAAGTTTTGGTCCTGTCTAGGCGACCTGAGGAACTTTAACTTTAAAAGGCATCTTGTAACTCAAGCTTTGTAACTGTAATTGTAATTGCACACATCCTCAGCTGCTGCAGCATAAATCACTCAATCTATTTCCGCAGCGCTCTTGAAAGCACCATGATTGCTGCTAAGTTTTGTTTAGTATAACAGAGCGTGACTTACGGGTCGCCTCCTCCATGGAGCGCATCTTGCACCAGGCGCTGAAAGAAGATCACAGTTAGTGTTTGTGCATTTGTTCTCAGCAGTCACAGTTGTTCTCATCAGTCACATTTGTTCTCATCAGTCACATTTGTTCTCATCAGTCACATTTGTTCTCATCAGTCACATTTGTTCTCATCAGTCACACTTGTTCTCATCAGTCACACTTGTTCTCATCAGTCACACTTGTTCTCATCAGTCACACTTGTTCTCATCAGTCACATTTGTTCTCATCAGTCACACTTGTTCTCATCAGTCACACTTGTTCTCATCAGTCACAGTTGTTCTCATCAGTGACATTTGGCTGGAAACACTGTTATAATATTACGAAGAAGGATGAGGACATTCTCCATACCCTCCGACCTCTACCAGAAGACATGTAGGACCTCCGGGACAAGATGGGACTACGAGGGGGTTTACCACCAATCAGTACATCCTGCTCGACAGTCAGAGAGACCAAATAAGCACCAGCTCTGGGACTATATCAAAGACTGTATTGACATTAAATACAAGCTTTCAGCATGCTCGAGCTGCAGCTCTGGCAGACTACTGTTCCATGCTTTGTTGAAGTTAGTTACTGCATGTCAAAATGAACTGTTCCATCTCAGTCAGACAAATGATGCATATGCTTCTTAGTTTAGAGCCATACAAAAAAGGATTAACCACTGGTAAACCTTGAAAATATAAAAATATACAAAATATTATATATTATATCTCTGCACTACACAATGATCAATACTAACTTCACAAAACACATTCTTGTTTGTTCAATATCAATCTCATCTTTGTTACGACCAAACCACAAGTGCACACCCAAAGGGTCAACCTCAGAACGCCACACACACTTGACAAATGAGAACAGCGGGCATCTGCTTGTTCCCACTATACCTTGACCATGGGAGACCTACGGCCCACGTGAGGCGCTGTGGGGGGAGTGGGAGGACAGCGGGGAGAAGAGGGGGGCAGGGGTGGGGATGGCGCATGCATGGGGGCAGGTGATCCAGTCACAGAACAAGCCTGCACTGGACAGAAGTGACAGGGCGAGGGGGGCAGCTGGGATGATGAGCGCTGCAGGGGCGGGGACACAGGGGGAGAGGGAAAGAGGCACGGGGACAGCATGGGCAGGGGGGACAGGGAGAGCAGGGGCAAGCTGGGCGGCCGTGGGGAGGTCGGAGGGGAGGGGCTTAGTGAGAACGTCTGAGGCGACAGTGGAGGAGAGCACACAGGGGAACGGGAAGTAGGGCCTCTCCTGAGTGGGTGAGGGAGTGGTGAAATTGGGGAGGGGGCGCGGACGCGGACATCTGCCTGCAGGGGAATAAGAGGAGCGAGATCTGAACCGGAATGTTCTGAGATATAATAAAATGCTCTGTCTGAAGCTGAAAGGTGCACACATGGAGGACGATTGTTGAGTCAAGATCTGTTTATCGATAATACACAACCATTGTAACAAAGCACTAAAACAATAGTGTACGACAAAAATAGTTGAAACTTGTTATGTTGAATACAGCTTTCTTAAACATTCTACAGTGGGAGTCGTGTCTACAGTGTTATGAAAAGATTGGGATAATCATAACACAAACTCTCTCATCCCCCATGTGATCTCCAAACAGAGCAGTATTTGAAGGCACAACATGCAGCACCCACATGCTGCTTTACCTGTGGACTAAGTCTCTGATTGAACCCTCTAAGCTCCTCCTCCTCCTCCTCCTCCTCCTCTTCCTCTATGAACAACTCTGTGAGGACCCTTTCCCCTGGGGATGATGGGCTGTGCGACTGGACTGGGGACACGTCTGCATGTCTGTCCCACAGAGGCGACAGGGGCTCGACTGTCACAGGCGAGTGGAGCTCCAAACAGATCCTACCAGACAGCCCACTACCTGGGCGCACCTCTTTTGAGCGCGGGGATGTGAACCCACTCTGGGCCTGCGGGTTTGGAGACGTCAAGTCGCCAACATCCTCAGAGCAATTTGACCCGCGTAAGATCATGGAGAGCAGGTCATCGTAAGGGTCTTTGACTTGAAGCTTCATTTCACAGACTTCCATTTTAATGTCTAACGGTTCTTTTATTTGTGCTTTTACAATCACAGGTGTATCGTCTCTGGAAATGTTTTGCCTCTGTGGAACTGGACTTGTTTTTACAACTTCAGCGGTGTGTGTTCTTGGTTGACTTGGACTTCCTGTATTTTGAGAAGTGTGGTTGTGACTACATGGGCGTGTGGGGGTGGAAACAGGGGGGGTGTAGGTGAGATGGTGAGGGGAGGGTGGGGGAGAAAAGGGAGTATAGCGTGTTGCTGTGATTGGTGTTCTGCTCAGAGTTGGCGGGGGGGAGGTGAAGTCTCGATACGACGAGAAAGCCGGCAAGGGTGCGGTGGCTCTCGGGGGTCTTGGAGTGAAGTCGGGGGGCAGAGGGGGAGGGGTTGGAGGGGCAGGCGTAGAGCAGAGGGAATGCCCACTGGGGTCCAGAGTGAGGGACAGCCACTCGTCAGTGATGGCCTGCAGCACGGGTGCTCTTGGGGCAGGCTGAGGAGAGGGCTGCACGTGCGCCCAGGGGGGAGGAGGGAAGTGGTAGAATGGCTCCAGGAGTAAAAATAAGAAGGAAAGTGACTACTGAGTAAAGACAGAATGAGTAGGTTCAGGCAAATGTAAAACTGGTAATATGCAACCAAAATAGAGTGACGGTAACAGAAAAGGCACAACGTAACGTCATTTTCCTCAGATTTGACTTCACTTTTGAGAGTATGGGAGAAACACTTGATTCAATAAGGCTTCTACTACATTTGAATTGCCTTAATCATCTGAAACTGATGCACACCGAGCACACAGGACTTAAAATGTTATTTAATTCAACAATGAAATCATCTTATTTTTTTACAATATATTTAAAATACATAACCTTTAAAAAACAGTGTTTAAACCTTATTTGATTTCCAGTGGAACCACAACCATTGATTCGGATTTCAATTATTGTGATTAGGCACAGGTAAGTATTATATCAAGGCCACAAAATGGTAGAAAATAAAAATAATAATATACAGTATATCTATTGCTGAATCAATGGAAACAGATCCAGATCGCTTGGCAGAGGTGATAGTATAGGATTACTCCAAAATGTCAATCAATCTTTCAATACATACTGTTGAAATACAAGCATCAACTAAATTTGACTGGTCTACAGTAAAGAGCATGAATACGTGTTGAGGCAGCTGGAAAAGAGCAAACATTCTTAGAAGAGACATTCTTACCTTGGTGGGAGTGGAGCTGGCCGTCCGGCTGCCCGGATACACATGTGGGTCAGGGTGGTGGGTCGAACTTTTTGAGGGAGAGCGTTTGACCAGGTCTACATATGATACAGGAAAGATGCCCTGTTTTGTAGTGCCTGGGATTTTGCCTTCGTACCAGTTCTGATCGACTTGACGAACCACAATTACTCGCTCTCCCTGAAAACAAAATACAATATAAGCAGCTGGCATAATCTAATTGCAAAAACCTACTTAGTAAACAAGTGGGGCTGCTTTCTCATTGGTTCTAAATTCATTATTATTCACGGTCACACTTGCAAGTAAATGTTAAAGGCAACATTTGATTCTGAATTTTGAGAGTTGGGAAAAAAAATATAGCGTTGCAAAAGATAATTACCTTCCTTAGCGAAAGCTCCACATTTGTATCAGCATTGAAGTTGTAGCGGGCGAAGGCTTCTCCGATCTCTCTGACGTGTGCAGGCGGAGGAGGTCTCATGGGCTGATGTTTTTCCTGTGATGGCATCTTCTGTTGTGAATGTGGAAAAACAAACACATGTAATTCAAGAATACTTTAGCCATTATTTCCAGATTCAATATAGCTGTGAATGCTTTACCTCAACATAAGAAATGGGGAATATTCCAATACGTCCACGGTGCTCCCCCTCGAACCAGTTGGTGTCTATTTGTCTGATAACGTTCACTGTGTCGCCCTTCTTAAATGTCAGCTCCCTGTAAAGCAACAAAGGTAAATGAGGATCTAACATGTTCTAAATGATGCAATAAAAACCATGCTCTAGCAAAACACCTCAGCATACAGAAGCAATGTTGACGTTGCATGCTAAGACAGAAAGTAAAACAACTTCATCTTATTTTACAATAACACTTAGAAACAGAGATGAGAGAATGTATGCTCATGCAGCCATTCCTGCAGTGAAGCGTGGCATTCTTGTTTGTGAAGCATTTTTAGTACTCACTTGGCTGTTTGTGCCTTAAAATCAAAAATGGCTCTCGCGGGCTGTTTCTGATGGAGGAGAGAGAAGAGAATGAGTTGTGTCATCTGTTTATGGGTAACCTAAGAGATGAAAGTGACAGAGACAGAAAAGAACCAAGAGATAGCCCAAGCTTAGTTAAAATAGAAAACAAAACCATAAATGTAATTTATCTATACAAGATCCTCCAAAAAAAATGGTACATGGAAAAACCACATTTAGTTCATAAATGCACACTGCTTATGAATAATTCTCTTGATGACCTTGCACAAAAGGTACCATAGTGCTGTATGAAACATCTGGGTCTCTGTGGAGCACAGGGACTAGCCCCCTGCTGGTCCCCAGAGTCAGGACTAAACATAGTCTGTGTTTTTTTTCTTTATTCATGCAGATCTGGAGATCTGGAGCAGCAATCCTGAGCAACAGAATGCAAGTTTGGGCACAAACCGTGTCATCTATTCCATTGAAAATAGTTTGCTTCACTAGTTTTTTTCAACATGCAAAAGTAGTAATAGTCATTTTGCATTTACTTTTGCAAGACTCTCTTTGCTCTTTTGTTTGGTAAAATAATGTATGTGCAATGTATTAATAGGCCGTGGTTAAAAGTACCCACCAGAAATATCATATTGTACTCAATGGTTGAAAGAATAACCAGTCTCGGGTAACTGACAACAGTTGGAACCAAATGAAGTGTACCTCTCTGTCGGGTGTGGGTCTTCTGCTCTGAGGGGTGTGCCGCCCATCCAAAGTGGAGTAACTCCTGGAGACATCATGGTCTAGGACCCAAGGAGAATATTATGAAGGTCATGGTGGTGCACAATAAACTTATGGACAATAATGTATATAATGATTTTGTTCTGTCAGTGATAAAAGGAAATAAAAAAATCTGGGTAAGACATGTCTGATTTATTTATCTCCACTGGTGTACACATGCAAATGTGAAACAACTAAACTATAATTAAAAAAATATATATAAGAAATAATAAACACATAAACAATAAATATTGAGAAATGAACATTTGAGTAAAATTACCATGCTCATAGTATACAAACCAGGGCTGATAGAAATCAAGTCCTTGCAACTTCTCCTTGCCTCACCTGCACAGATCCTCCCACCACCAAATAAATGCCTGGGCTCAGACCAGGCCGGGGAACGTCGCACCAGTGGATCCTTCGGCAGCTCTATTTTTGCGTCATGGCTGATCACTGCGCAGGAGCAGGATGGGTGGGAGGACCCGGGCAGGTGGAGGCGAGGAGAAAAAGGACTTGATTATAATAAGGCCATTCACAACAACAGGATTTGGTAATCGGACCAATGAGCACAGATGAAAGCTCCAAAGTGTGACATAACAATATGGTGCTATAGCACCACTGCTTGGATTTTACAGCTCCAGCTGATTAGTAATTAGAATAAGCCCATTTATTATCAAGGATCAAGCCCATTTATTATCAAGGATCTTAATTTAGTCTCACAAAAACCTGTTTGTGTCGACCGTGAAAACAATATGAAGAGGTTATGAAAACGTTTAATAATTTGGGTATTTCCTGTAGTTAGTAGGATGTAATATAATTAAAAATGTATATAAATCTACAAAAATGGATTCTAAAATTGTTGGCAAAAAAGCGAAAGATCAGCTGGGGTACAGCTGTAACTTACAAGCACAACTGTAACCATGCATTTAAGGTATGTACTCCACAATATTTGAAAACTGATTGATATAAACTAAATATGTATACACATGAAAATAAAATAAATGTACAGGACAATCACTAGGTGTGTATGGCACTATGGACATGAGCACATCACATGCAGTGTCTCCACCTGAGTAACAGAGATTCCCATTGCCCTCTGCGTAATCGTTATTGTTTGAGGTTTCATGATGACGTCCGTAACAGGCACTGACTGGTGACTGTATTCGTGGCGACTGCAACCGTGGTGATGAGGAATACCCAGTGGGGCTTCCATCTGGACACATAGAGGAGTGCCCCCAGCAGCCCCTCCTCGCTCTCAGAGAGGAACTGCGCTCAGGCACATTTGGCAGCAGTTCAGCCAGAATCCTCCTGAGGATGCTGTCATCTGGTGCCCTTGTGCCTCTGTGGCCACGCTCTGTCTGAATGTGCTCATATATGTCCCTCAGTGCAGCATCTAGGGCTTCATAAATAGCCTGTTTTGACTTGGGTCTACTACTTCGACCACTTGTGCCACTTCTTCTAGAGGTAGGTGGTGAGCCCTTTTTCCTGCGGAAAGGCACTGGACTGACCAGGAAGGCCAGCTTTGACATTGCTTGCTGGGACTGTGGGTTGTGAGTAGACTGTGAGGGTCTTGGGAGCTCCTGGCGTGCCCGTTCTCTCTCGTGGCGCAGCATTGTGGTGAATCGGGTGTAAGAGGCCGGGCAGCGACCCTTACACGTGCTGATAAGGTGTCTGTGTTGGTAGCCCTGGCTTTGGCCCACACTCTGATGACCAGCATGGTGGTGATGGTGATGGCGAAGCTGGTGGCGAAGGTGATGTTGATGTACAGTGGAGGAGCCGTACAGACTTTCTGTGGAGGTCAGTGAACAGTGGTCAAAGTCACTCTCACTGCAAAAAGATGAGCCCTCCACCTGAATGAAGTCGCTCAGATCTGATGCCACAGCGTCCTGTTCACTGTCAGAGTAGTCCTGTTGGGCCTGGGGCGCACGTGGCAGAGGAGGAGCAACAAAAGAGTTTCCACGACTGGGCTCTGGGCCGACACGAGGCTGTCCCTCAGGTGGACTACGTGTTCGATGCAAATGATCGATGGCATGTGGTGTTTCATTGCCATTGCTGTCTTCTTCTAATAAAGATTCAATAGAAAAACGGCGTTTAGGTAAACTCGGAGTGCCCCCCCGACTGCTGGCTCGGGATGAGGAGCCCCCAGGCGTTACAGTACCTGATGGCACTTCCCCATCACCCAGGTTAGGCATAGATTTAGATTTTTGTATAAGGCGTTCATATTCAGAAATACGATTTGGCACCGTGTCACGTGAGACCTCCGCACCCATTGAGGGTCTCCATGGAGGGAAGGGGTGGTGGAGCAGATGAGGCTGACGCTCAAGCTCCAGTATGCGAGCCCGAACAGAGCGAATCACTTCAGAAGGAATCAGCTGGGAGCGATCAATGTGGTGCATCTTCTTATAGAGCTGGAGAAAACCTGGTGAGTCATGGGCACGTCGCCGGTGAAGCCGAGGCAAAGAAGAGGTTGACGTGGATGCTGTAGACCCTGAAGGATGTCCATCGCACAATAAAGAACCAGCACTTTCTGAGCGGACTGCACGTCCGTTGGTGCCAGAGTGGCCATCGTTCAGTAAGTCATCACAGCTGCGAGACTTGACTTTACGGGAGGAAGGTGGTACCTCCTCCACACTGCTCCAGGTCTCTGCTTCTCCCTGCTGACTGGTCCAGCTACTTTTAAAAACAGACTGTTTGGAGGAGGAACTGCCTTCTTGGCTGCCGTTGTCCATGCAGTCTGTTGACTCCGATGAAAGAGGAGGTAATGACAGGCTCTTATAAGAAGCAGGTGAAGGTAAACTGTTTTGATACATGTTACATGCTTCCCCACCTTTCAGATGTCCAAATAGAGCAGCGTGAGAGAAAAGAAGGAGGAAAGCATGTCAGGCAAAAGGACCTAAGTTAGCGAAAAATGTGAAGAGGAGGACAAGGAAAAGTAGGAGGGAAATGGATTTGACGATTGGAATATAACAAAATAAAAACATAACAAAAATGTTCTTGGGTACAGTACCATGTATGAAGGTTTGGGACATGTAGGGAAGAGATCAAAATCATGTGAATAAAATAAAAACTAACCAAAACAATAGAGTGTTATTTACATTGATGCAAACTTTACCTTTGGCTTTGGAGGGTGAAGACGGAGAAGAGCGAACCACAGGTTTCTTCAAGCTGCTGCTTGGTCTGGAAAGTTCTATGGGTTTAGCAGATGTCACAGATCCGCTCTGATATGGATTAGCATGAGCATTTGAGGGCTCCGACTTTCGTCTTTTCCTGTAGTCACTGGCCGCACTACAGAATTGAAAATTATAACATACATCATGTTATACATCATTTATTCCCTTCAGAGGGACACATTACAGCTGTCCTGGGACTACAGATGGAAAATAGCCCTCAGGCTAATTCTGGTATATTTACATGTGTAATGTATATTAATATGCACTGTCCTTCTAATAAATCGATACATAAAATCATACTGAGACAGCTTTCTTCTCATATGTATAAAATAATGAACTTCAAAAAATAAATCTGTCAAAACTAATACTCATGAATAAAAAACCTAATTCCATCTGAATATGAAGAAAATAATAATACACTCATTTGTCAAGAGTCTAAATATTCACTCATGACTATATTCACTAGTTTGTCCTCGTAACTAATGGACTCTCTTTTGAGCAGGAACACAAAGTCACTATTTACAGCCTATTCATTGCATCCCATCTCTGTCCTTTCGGTCCACTGAGGAGAATGGGACATGAATAAGCAGGCCACTGGTGAATAGGACGAGGATGTGGAGAGGGGAGGGGGTTGGGACCAGCCTAAATGGTGATGGGCAGGATCAATAGAGCTGCGGGAGCTAATTTATTGTAGATTCTGTCTTGGCTGTAGCGGGGGTAAAGCCTAAACCGTAATCCTGACATATCTCTTGGTGTGAATGTAGTTAAAGGGTCACGGATGGAGCAGAAAGAGCTGTGCTGACAGTGCTGCTGAATCACAACAAATCAGTGGCAGTGGGGGAGGGGGTGAGGAGGTGATGCAGAAGAAAATAAAGCAGGTCTACCTTGCCGGTCTCTCCAGAGGTTTTTCGGACGAAGGGATGTGTAGCGATGCCTGTGCAAATAGGACAAACACAACAAAAGAGAAATGTGAGCCTCGCAAGAACAAAGGCTAGAGAGGTGGTCCACAATGCACTGCCTCCATGCGTCTGCCGATGTGCCACGCTCAAAATATTCCTCCAGTGTAAAGTGCTGCAGATGCTGGTTCCACGTGGCACACTGGAGAGTGCAGTGAACAGGAGAGATGCCTGGACACTGGGGCTGCAAGAGGATGGTGAAGGTAAACGCACGGCTGCATCCAATGTGCTCAGCTTGGGGGCAACTGATGCTCTGTAAAAGCAGGACTGGATCAACTGGAGTGGAGTATTAATAACCTTATGAATCTCATGCACATTTTAATTGTAGTCTATCTAACATTAAAAACTTGGCCCCAAGAAGGTTAGTAATTACTTTTCTAGAATCTGTCAGTTATGCCTTTTGTATAACTAAATCCACAGAGATGCTTACAAATTATTCTATTTTGTGCAACATTTGGGGAGTGTGGAGCCCAACAGGACATATAATGAAAAACCTGGAGTTGTTTCTCTAAAAGCTCCTGTCTCAGTCCTGCAGTAATATGATATCATTGTACCACCATGAAAAACAAAACAAAGGTACTCATATATTAGTTGTGGCAATTTCTCTGGTGAAATCACATTCTTTACAACTAGATAGCAGTGGTTGCAACTGCAAATTGCTACCACTGCTATGTAATAGTAAAGAATTAGCAAATTTTCGAATAAAAAAAACATATACAAAGCAAATGCTACCATTCAAACTGAGGCTCAATTCACAACATAATGGAATAGAATATAATGCCTGATTCTCTTCTTAGTCAGAACCAGTGACAAGTATGGGTGTGGGATTACCTCAATGCGCTGGCGAGCAGAGATGTCTGGATTATAATCCAGTCGTTTTTTAGGAGGCTTGAGCCGCAAGCAGCAGCAGAAAGCAGTAGGAGGAGAGGAGGAGAAGGAGGTGAAGATGAGGTGAAAGAGGAGAAGCAGTGGTGGCGTCATGAGGAGGAACATGTGGAGAGAGTGAACCCATTAGACAACAGGGAGTGTGCTAAACTAACACACAACTACAGTCTCTCAGTTTGTATGCAACAGAGATGTACAAATGATGGAAAAAACATATTTGAAAAATGTTGTTTTGTAAAAGAAATATTAATTTGGTCAAATAAAATTAATGTAAACAAACATAACAGTGATGAAGATCTCTCGCACATACAAATTGAGAACAACTTCAGTCTATTCCCAAAAACAATGTATACTTCATAAACTTGTGGTTGGTCCCACTTACACACACAGACTGAAATCCAAACACGGAGCACACACATGCTGAGTGTAAGAGCAAGCTGTGAGCAGACGGTGACGCACAAGCAGCAATCTGAGTCTTAAAGGTGTGATTATTACTAGTGCACACACAGCAAATGTATTTATAATCTTTCACTACAACAAACACTCGTCATCAATACATTTTAAACAATGTCACTACACTGTGTACATAAGCTCTACATACATAATCTGTGTCAAACTGAAAAAACATGAGAGAGCATTCTTCTGAACACTCATGCTCATGATCAAGTATCTGCAGCACATGTATTTAAGTGTGGCATTGATCCTCTTCCATTGACTAAACTGGCTGGGTCTCACTAGGTAGTAAGTACTGTCTTCAACCAGTAGAGGGCAGTGCGTTCATGTAGTTTGGGTGAAGGTGATATATAAAAATAACCTTATACTAGGATTAGGATCAAAACATAAACATTTCATTCCAAACAATATTTTATTATTTTTATAGGATGCTATGAAGAAAACCATGACCGTGTTACAAAATATCTTGAGATTAAACTGCAAAGAGAGATAGATTTTTTTATTTTATTTACCCCAGTACTACAGTGGCAGAACTATTACCGAACCAAAATAAATTAGGTTATGTTTTTGACAGGTTTTCTACTATATCTCACTTGAATTATGAAATAAATATCTTAGACTTCCCTTCACCCTGTGGGCAAATATTTGTTCACAACGTCCTGAATACAACATTATGTGCACTAGCCACAGGGCAAACATATGAGCAACACAAAGACACAAAGGTGTGTGGTTTGGGGTCCACCACATGCCTGCACAATTCGCCCCGATTAGCCCCACCCATCCTACAATCACTGTACAATGGGTGGGGTTGGGATTAGGGTTGAGGTGCTATGGTGCAGATTTGTGGTTTTGCAAAGACAGTCGTCTACGGCCCTGACTTACCGGCCGCCCAAACTCCAGCTCAGAAAAGAACTTATACCAAGGCTCGTTCTCTAAATCTATGTCATCATACGTCTGGGAAGAGCATGACAGAGACAGAGAAGAGAGAGGGGAAAGGGGGTGTGGAGAGAGGTCACACAGAGACATGGAGCTCATGGTTAAGAATGGCTCAAGGTGGAAGCTGACATGAACACAGAATGAACTGAAATGAACAACTCAGAAGTATTTTTTCATTTGAACTAATCACATTGAATTCCATAATGTTAAGCAATTATGTAACAGGTTTTCTTGTCCTTGAACTGAGTAGCTATGATTAGGGCTACGAGTAAAACAAAGCGGTCGCTTTCAAAACACACACAAAACCAGAGAGGTTTTTCTATTGGTTTGTACATGTGATTTCTGCTTTTGTACATAGAATGCCACATCCCTTTTTAAAGGTTTCAGCTCCAGAATATGTCACACTGTGTGGCAAGTGCTAATCTCACTTTCTATTTCCGGACTGGTTGTGAGATCCAGAACACCAGTTGACAAACACAAACACTTCCAGTTTTTTTTTTTTTTTACAGAATTGAAAGTGAGCAAACCCAGAACAAGAACTTTGCTTTAGATGGCACTTCATCACACAGTAATATAGCCTTTCCCCCCCCTTTTTGTTCTGCTTTTTCCGCTTTCAGTTTGTTAAATCTGACCAGTTCCCATTTCTCCATTTCGTTCCATTTAACATTAACCTGACGGCCATTTTTCTAGCTTCTTTTGCATACCCATTATTTCTGTCATTTGTCATCCCCCACACATTTTAAAGTGCCACTAGCCATTAGGGAAGCAATAGCTATGGAAATGTTACTTTCTTATGCCTACGCTAATACTGAGAGAATCTGAAAAACACATAATCAACCTAAGTGAATAGTGTTCTAAACATATTATGTAAACCACAATGATGAAGTCTAAAATACTCACCGGTCTTTCTTGATCTAAAATGGAAGACTTCCCCGGCTCATATTCAAATATACTCTTCGGCTCTGCACGATATTTTCTTGTGTCTACCTTCCTGTCAGGCGGGCCCCATTCATTCCTTCTGTAAGGAAAGTAAAACAAATAAATGTGGAAACAATATTACACCGATACTAGCTGCTAATGAGAATACAGGATATGAATGTAATTACTACACACAGGTCTTACATATCAGACATCTCCTTGCCCCGGTCACTGTCACGGGCTCGTAGCTGCAGGATGGAGGGCACCGCGGGGGGAGGCGGAGGGACAGGTGAAGGCCTGGGCTCTGGATGGCGGCCGTCATCAGATGGGCTTTTGGCCAGTGGTCTGTATGTGTGAGTCTGAGGTGGAGGATGGGCCAAAGTGACATTTGAGGATAGACTGTAGTCATCTGTTCAGTGTGGGAAAAGAGAGATAGAGGTGTAAAAGGAAAAATGGATGAGAAAGATGTGAATTTGTTGTATTGTGGTATCGCTCACCATTGTTTATAACTGCATATGACGCATTATATGTATCAGAATAGTCATCATCTGGAAAAAAGAGTAACTATGTAATAAAAGTAAGTAAGTACAGTTTTATTTTCAGGGCACGATAGCCATATAGCAAAAGAGTCCAACATCATGACCCAGGATACGCTTGTGACCTAGGAGACAGTGTAGGGACTACGTCTCTCAGCCGTCTCTCAGTGTGGAGATAGAGAGGTCAGGTCGGACATTATTCAAGTATTCAAAAAGCTTGCCTGCTCAGTGTAGTGGAAATGAATTTGTTGCAGATCTATATTTACAGGGTTGGATACTCTTTCAGATCCGTGAGAAAGATCCGATAAGATTTTGCAGGAGCAGAATTGAGCTTCCCTTTTAGCTTTGAACAAGCAGGCCTTGTAGTGACTGTGGTTTTGTCGAGCCCACACATTTGCAACCTATTTCCCAGGACAAGGTTGTGTCTATTAGGTTGCTTCCAATTCCCTTCCTCTATCAGTTGCTTCACTCCAGCTAATGAGTTTTGGCTCAGGGGTCTGCTGGGTCTTTTGGTTGAATAGGAACTTGTGCACAGGCGCAAAAAGTAAACCACACACTGACGCATGAAGCAAAATCAGTCCTCAACGAACACATGTTGTAAGTGATGAGATAGCTGTCACTCTTACCTGCTTTGTGAACTTTGTGGATCTGTTTGAACATTGTTTTGTACCATTCTTTTGGCCTGTCCACGGTCTGCAAAAACAACACATACTTGACAATACTTTAATTCGTATTTAAGAAAGAAAAAAAACACTTTCCACCCATTTACTGTCCAAATTAATGACATTTTAACAGTTTAATTACAATTTTATTGTTGTTGTCCCGTTTTAGATTAATTCGTTTTTTATGGGTATTAAAAATGTGATAACAATTGTGTTGACTCAGAGCTTGAAATACCCTTGACTCAAGGTTCCGCAAGAGAAAGTGAGATGAAAGGCTGTTATGTGTGTCACTGTGAACAAAGTATAGATTTAACATCTTCTTCAAAAAGAGCCAATAAATAACTGAGGCCTAATCCTCTTCTTGTTTTGAATGGTTTTGAATGGCACAAAACAGTTTCCAAGTGAGACAAGAGCTATCTTTTTCTCTTGGTAAGGCTAATTAGTTCCATTTTCCTCGGTTACCAAGTAAATGCCACAAAAATGTGTCTGTACACAAAAAGCTGCTTTTAGTCTTTTCCTTTAGCACCTCTTTCCCGTCGTCCTTAGACTCTGTGACATGCTTGCTTGAAATTTTACTCTTGTTCCTAACTTGAAGTCACACTTATTCACCACCATACGTTGTGAAATGAATAGAAAAGAGAGTCAAGACATTGACATGGTTAAAAATAATGATTTGTATTTGAAATAAGATTTGTTTTACATCCAACTTTGCTTTCGTCAAAGAATCCTCCATTTGCAGCAATTACAACATTGCACCAAAAACCAGACATTTGCAGCTAGAATAGTCATTTACCACATAAGCAATGTATAGAGTGTATTTCTTTACAGTTTAGACTAGTTTAAAGTTATCTACAGTGCTTTTCCTTAAAAAATAAGGACATTTCAATGTGACCCCAAACTTTTGAACGGTAATGTATATAATGTCTATTTGTTTTAGAGTACCTATGCATGCATCCATCTATGTTAAATGTGCTACGAATGTGTTAAAATGACAAGATGTGAACTTACTGTGCGAATTGCAATGGGAATTCCAGTATCATCCACAGGTCCAATGCCTTCATAATGAGGGGCTTTAATGACTGATACTTTCTTTTCTTCTTCTGAGAAGCGGGCAATGGGCACGGTGACGCTCGTGTAACCGCTGACTATGGATTCTCGAGACACAGATTCAATCCCTTCTGGGAAACAAAGAAGGACATTATTTAGAGCAAATAGAACAAAATAATGGATATCCACAAACTTAGGCTTGGATTCATAAACAAAATTGTAATAATCTTTGATGTCTATTATCTAGTTTTTTTGGGGCCACAATTTTATTTGGCTACACTTTCATCATTCATCATTTTCTTTGTGGAAAGTTTCTATATTTCTATGATTTTTTTACAAATATAAAATGATATTGTATTATTTTACATGAAATATGTTTGAACAAAAAGAATTCAGTTATGTTTGAACTGAAACAAAACTGGACATAAACAATGACAATAAGTCAAATGTATACATGTTTACTTAACTATAACCAATCATTTTAGTTCAATGTTAAGAATAAAATGAATGAGGTGCTTCTTTGCAGTCAGCTTACAAATGATTGTAAGTAGCAATAGTTCAAAAGCATGTCAGCTGCTGTAAAAACTTGTGTTTGAAATGCCTGGTTTAGAACCTGGTTTAGACATTTAGAAAACTACCGCAGGCGAGACTGACCTGTGCTCCGGCTCTGCCTGTGGATGCCTTTGTGAAGAGACTTTGGAGGAGGGGGGTACGACAACGGAGAGAGGGGCCGCTGTGGAGGATCAGTGCTGCCGTTCATGGCATGGGATAGAACCTGGCCCTACAAGCAATGCACAAGAATGGATAAATGAATTTGTCCAAAAACAAAGTCAATAATGTACACTTCAAACACAAAAAAACTACACTTCTAATTTTAAGGTTAGTCCCACAAGTGCTCATCAAATGGACACAATTTTGATATTTCAAGAAACAGAACCGATTAGATCCGAAAAAGAGCCGAACTATCTTCAGTTAGTGAGAGAAGGAAAGAAGACAAGTGCAAGACAGACAGTACAAATCAAATATGGGCAAATGTTTATTGTTTTGGGTTTATTCAAGGTGTTTTTTGGGGGATGTATCCTATTACTTAAATACTGCTGATGTCAAAGCTAAACGTGTTATGAAAAAAAGATCACAAAATTACAAAGTAATAGTAATCCACCACACCATAAACTCAAAACTCATATAACTAATATTAGATTAAAAAAAAACAACTGCAGACAAATATTAATGGGATTTAAACAAGGAAAGCACTTTACTAGGAAAGTACTTCAACACTGATACAAAAAACAGAAGCACTACTGATATTATTTCTGGTATCACACAGGAAAGTTGTGTTGTTAAATTTCTTGAATTTGGGGTTAAACAACATTCACATTTAGTGCAGCGGGCGGGACCTTATTGTGTGTTATGAAGATAATTACATTAGTGACAGCAGTGGCAGCAGCGGTGGAGGCCACAGGGGCAGTTAGAGCGTCGTCAGGCCCAGTGAAGGTATAGGCGGAGGCGAGGCTCAGGGTGGGCGATGGAGTGGGAGAGGCACCAGGGGAGTCCAAACTACAAATCTGCAGTTCGTCTAGCAGACCGGCCGTAGAGGTGGAGTAGTGGCTCAACGCGGACACTGTCACTGGTGAGGTGGAGGGGGATACAAAGCCACTGATGCTGGAACTGCCAGCGGTGCTAAGGCTCGGCCCGCTCACAATCTCTACAATACTGCTGCCCCCACTAGGGACATATGGGGTGGGGGACAGGCCCTTGGGCAAGATGCCAGACAGGTAGTCCAGGGATTCATAGCTGTGGAAGCGGTAGGGGGAGTGGTGTGCACTGGAGTCTGGAGAGGGAGGGCCCTGGTTGTGGTGGATAAGAACAGGAAGGAAAGGAGGAAAGCAATATCACCCATTAGTTATGGGGTACAAACATCTGGCATTTACAAAGTGTAAAAAGCAGTTAAGTTTGACAGAAATACCTTCAGATTTCATTATTCTGTGAACTGAAAAGGATTGGTTAGTTCATCCACAGCAAAAGCAAAATAAATATCACTTGACAAAACAGGATTCATCACAGATATGAGTTCACACGGTTAGTTTGGGTTTTTGAGTGCACAAAGCATTTTGTCACAACAAAACAGCTGTCATTCTTTCCATTCTCAGCGTCACAAAACCAATATTCACTTTCCTCGTGTGATACCAATTTTATAGTGAAATATATACTTTACTGAATAATAAGAATAATAAACATGCACACAAATGTGTTGCTCATATCTCATCATTTGAATTGAAGTCTAAAAGGTCTCCTTTGAAAACCAGATGGTTCATCCCAATTAAATGAAGTCTGCAGTTATAATTTGACTGCAACGTCTCGAGTCAAATTCAAATGTGCATCTCCTCAAACCAATAATTACGAAAGAAAGAAGGCATCAAAGTGTAAGAAGTCCTGGTTTATAGATGACTCTGTACCAAGATATGGGCCGCAGAAGGTCTGGGAGGCACAGCCGGAGGGGGTATCTCCAATTCTGCTTTTACAGAGGCATCTGGGAGCTTCATCGCTCCAATCATCAAGGGAACCTCTTCTTGCTCTTGACCGTTGTCTCTACTCAAGTGGAGGGACACTGAGGCTGCCTGATGTGAGAGCTTAGATTGGCATGGATCTTTCTGTGCAGCCAGTTGAGCTGTGTCTTTACTTTTTGAGTCAGTGCTGGTGTAAGAATTGAGGTGAGTAGGTGGGTCTGGGACAGGAAGAGGGGTTAATTTGAGAGAAGACACTTTGCGTTCCTGAGTATTAGACATATTAGATGTATTAGACATATTAGATGTTATTATTTGGTCTTCTGTGGTTGTAGACTGTGGGGTTATTTGTATGCCATCCGTTGTCGAGGGCTGCTTGGAGGTCTCAGAGTAAGCGTAGGAAGATGTGCTTTTTATAGTGAAGGACTCTTTGACAACGGCATTCTCACTCTGTGTAAACTGTAGCATTCCAGGGCTCAAGTCATTGGCAAGAGCCAGGAGGGAGCTGTAAGATGGTGGATTAGTGCCAGGCAGTGAGAAATTAAAACTGTCTCGGCGGGGAGGCGGGGATGGCATGTGATCAGCCTCCTTATAGGTTAACCATGGGTATAGCATTCAAAGAAGATAGAACAATGAAGAAAAAAATATGATTGACATTTATTATTGACATATAAATGACAGTACAAATAAACAACACATTTGATTCACATCATTGATTTAAATTAGGGCTGTCAAACGATTAATTTTTTTTATCGAGTTAATTACAGCTTAAAAATGAATAGAAGTAATTAATTGCATTTCGAACTATCGGCAAAATGATGCAATTTTTTCTGTAAATGGTTGTTTGAATGGAAAGATAAATGACAACATAGTGCACATATGTACTGTATTTGTTTATTATAACAATAAATCCACATAACATGGCATTAACATTATTAACATTCTGTCTTTCTGTAGTAGACACTATTTTTTCATCTCAACATATTCCACATCCGCTAAAGCCTCCTCTTTCTCATAAAGGCAGTGGATCCTCTTCATTATTGTGCCTCTACAAACTATTGTTTGTCACAGGGATGAGGGACATTTGAAAACAGTCTGAAATGCATGTCAGCCAATGGCTATCATTAACTCATTATTGGGCACAAATAACATGAAATGGTAGTGCAAAGGAAAAGTTAGCTACCCCAGCTTTAATTTTGTGTCTTTTTTTCGCTTCGGGAGAAGTCACGGGGGAGACAAACTGTTTAATGCAGCGCTGTTTTTTTTGGGGTATCACACCTGTGCGCCTGTGCGTGATCAGTGCACACATTGGTCCTGTGCGTGTATATGGCATTGGGTACATGGCCACGTTATGGCTGCGAGCTCCCATGCTGTTGAAAGCCGCTCACAGCTGCTGGACGCGGGAACCGCTGTCCAACACGGCCGCAGCTGCCCCAGAACGCTGCAGACTCCCATTCACAGCAATTGCCCCACGGTCACACCCGCGGGGTGCCAGTTATTTGGCACATGCGTTAAAAAGCCTTAATTTTTTTACGTGATTAATGACAAAAATTCATTAACGCGCGTTAACGCGATAATTTTGACAGCCCTAATTTAAATATATTTCAGTAAAATAAGATCCAAGCAGCATTTTGAGCCAAAATGGTGGTACAATAATGGTGAAAGGCCTATCATCAATTAGGAATAAACTTCAACAAATGAGAAGGGGAAATGCATATAACATTTAGTTCATACATTTTCTTTAGTATGTCGTAATTTTCCTGTTTTTTCAAATGGTGTATGTAAGATTCACATTTTAAATGACATAATATTTTATTGGTGCTCGCAGGAAAATCCTATTTGTCTTTTCTGATTTAAAAAAGACAAATAGGATTGTTAATATGGATTCATTCTTAGTCAAAACACACAATGTACAAGTTAATATCTTAAAATTATTGTTCCAAGATGAGAAAGCAAAAAGCCTCTCATTTGTGTGGCCAGTTTCTTTGATGAAATCTAGTGTTTGGTCTGAACCCCAGCAGGTGAAAGCCAGCCACAGCAGCAACATGAACAGCAGCAGTTTATATCCTATTTTTTTGGCAACACATAGTTTAGTTATAATAGTAGAACCCTTATTGAGCCAGTAAGAGTGTGTTCAACATGCTGTGCCTTTAGTCTTAGTATTATACATAAATTAACCTAAAACTTGCACATTTTAATTCATCTATTTATTTTTTATTACTGACGCAGAATTCTCACATCACATACAACACAGCATATGACGTACTTTTGACATCCTTCAGAAGTTTCCCTCTCTTATTTTGTCCAAGAATGCAAACATATTTAGTCTGTGTGTATAATAGGAACATCTGGTCTAATATTGAAATAAGAGATTACCTGTGAGGGTGAATTTTTGTCCTGTAGATTGGGCCTGACACTGCGGAAGCCTTTGGCAGCAAGAGAGGAGGTGCTTGAGTCTCCATTTCTAAGGCCATCTGTGACACTGCTGGAGCGCCAAGAATCTGTAGGTTCAGGATTTACCATTACCAACTCAGCTATTTTCCCCCACCCAATTAAGCTGCATAATGATGTTGTTTCAGGGACTAACGTTAAACTTACCCAAATCTGAAGAGTGAGAATCATTCGCTGCGGAACACAGGGCAAAGAGCAGGAGAGAAAGCGTGTTACTTTCAAGTAAAATGATAAAGATCTTATTCAACCCATTATTAATGATAATCAGGTTGGTTTTTCAAAGAAATGTTTAAGAGATTATAAATAAAGAGTCGCAGTCTTTCTCCATGCACAATTAGCTGGTTGCAAACTCAGAGCTGACAGGGCCTGTGTTCAAAGAGAGACAGATGTAAAAGAAGCTGCTGACAAGGTGTAGAACAAGACACTGCTCTGTCAGCAGACTTCACACAGCAGTTTGGGAGGAGATTCTGTTCAGACAGGACCGTTTAATTGAAACCAAAACATTCTCGGAACCAATTACAGCATATGAAAGATGGAGAAAAAAAGCCAAAATACAAACTGAAAGTACACACACATATTTTTTGTACCAATATCACAGAGCAGCACAATATACAGCTGAAGCTTTATATCCTCTAGTGACGTTCTTAAGAATCAAAACCAAAACGGTCTGGAATTGTCCTTCTTGATTCACAGATTTTGTGAAGTGTTCGTGAGAGTTAGTACCTGTGGCTAGATTGGGGGAGCTCTGGACCCTCTTCATGGGAGAGAGTATAAGCGACAAAGCCACACTTTTGCAAGCATTTCCACCGCTATCTGAGAAATCACAGCCGAGCAGGTGATGGCAGAGGCAGCAGAGGCAGAAGGCATGCACATGCAAATAAACAACACCCAATAATGCAGCAAGTAACAGGAAAGGCACACAACTCATGCATCATTTTTGTTCTAGATGCTTGCTCTGTTCTGAACATTTAATATTTCCAGATAAGTCTTTTATAAACTACACTCCTTAATACAATTAACAAATGTAACATAATAATAATGATACCATAATCAATCATATTATATAGGGGTAAATAGGGTGAATAAAGGAATATTACAGTTTTGATTGACTAATGAGTTGAATTATCTAAGATTGCAGTACTTGTCAGTTTCCTTACATCAGTAGTTTGGAGAAATCCCTCCAACTGTGGAGCTGAAATGCACACTTGAGTATGGCAGACTGCCAGGTGCACAATGAGCTTTAGAAATGTGTAGAAGGAATGCCTCATTGTGATAAAACCTTATCCGTATTGATGCTTTTACTCACAATAACTGCGACCCAAATGGATCATCACAAAAGTGAAACAAGGTCAAGATTAGAGTTACACTCTGTGGTCTGTGACAAAGTAAGACCAGCACAAACCACTGTTTCAAAATAGACACCCTTTCAAACCAGCCACTGTATCACTCACTTGTTAAGATGTATACAAAATGAAATAAAAAATAAATGAATGCAATTTGTCATTGATTCACATTTGTCATTAAGTTCAAGTATAAAGCCTTTTCAATATAAACATCAAGTGTTAGTAAACTAACTCAAAGGCACTTTAAATAATCAGAACAGCAGCAACATCTGAACAAACAAGATAATCAGATAAATATACTGTAATACATACCTGTATTCATTTTGAAGCACACTTTTGACTAGTTGGAAGGGAAAGACACTTTCCTGTAAAACAAATGGATTTTTTCCTTTTAGTGAAAGAAATAGTTTTCTGTTCTTCAACAGAATGACAACACAGACAAAGCTTAGGCATCTGGACAAATGTTAGATAAAAGAAATAGTTCTGACAGAGAGTGAACTTCACAGAACAATGTTGAAGCATACTTATCTATTTCTAAACAAAGATCACTTCTAAGAACAGTTTGAGTAAAGCACTCAGTGATTGATATAAATGGGAGTGACTTCAAAGCCAAAGATGCTGCAGACCACATGTTTGTGAGAGTCAATGTGGTGTGTGTCATCAGGAGACTAAGTCTATGTGACAGATAGGACAAGTGAGCGTTTACAAAGGCAGCAGACAGGCAGGATCACCAGGGATGTGAATATCAAATACTTGCACTGTTAACACTGCGCTCCTCACCAACCTGCTATTTTAGTGACTATTCACCACAACAGGTGTAATGCCCCATGTCCAACAAACCTTTTCTCAGTAAAAGCAATCAGTATGCTTTCAGATATGCTTTGTATATATATTGAAAGGGATAGTTTTATTTATGTTTATGGGCTGTACACAAATTGGTAGTTGGTATAACAAAAAAGTAAAAAAACTGTACTCAATACAATATTTTGTGTAGAAAAGATTGTGCAGAAACATTGATTGATACTTTCAAAGACCAACGCTCAAATCTGATTTAGCAAATTAAATTAAACAACCACCAAAGTATTATTCTGTTCTTGCGTGGTCAATAACATTTTGGCCAGTTCTACAATCTGCTTTGATATAATATATCTAATACTGCATAGAATACCAAAGAGTTAAGTTTGTCTGGCCTTAATCTCTCCTAGTTATTGCTAGTGAAGAGAAAGTGTTGTCAGCTGAGATCTAGATCATGTCAGGCAGCGGGAGAATACGTCCAATCCCTGCAGACCTAATCCTCGGCCGTATACGTCCTGTCCTCATAAATCTATCTGGGAAACACACAGGCAGCAGGGGGGTAAATCATGAAGCTGGCGTCACAGGCTGTCGACGTCCAAATGATGGTCAGATTATAAACAGGATCGTGTTTCGGAGGAACAGATCGGAGGCGACTTTGCAGCTGTGGCCCTGGTGTAATGTTGTGGCTGTATGAACACAGCGAAAGCCAACTGAACCGAAAGTTCCACGCTCTGCCAACACCTTACCTTGTAATTTTGAGTCAGATTCCTCAAATTTTACTTATGAGGGAGTAGCAGCAATTTTGGTCAATATATTTGCCATGAGAGCACAGTGGCATAAGAGCACTTTGTCAAATTAAAAGTTAAAGTCCACTTCAAAATTGACTGTAAACATTCGCCAATTACAGAATAACCAAAACAAAAATCATTGGTCTAATTGATAGCTACCTCTACAGTCTAGCTATGAAATGTATTTATTATGGTTATATATATATAGTATGTACAGTTGTATAACTCGCTCTTAAATTCAGGTGGAACTTCAGAAATGGACAATTCTCAGTTGAGCAACTTATTGTTACTATTATGTTATGGATTTCAGCCAGGCCCATTTTTCCAAATATGCATATGACATGATGGGTCGTGTATATAATTAGTCAGTTAAATAGCTTTGGGAGGGGAGACACACAAGTCAAAGATATGAAGGACTTCAAGTTGTGATGTCCAACCCCACAGGCGCATCAAGTCTCATTAGTGTGCTGAGTGATCCACAGGGACACATTCACTTTATATTAGTTCCCTAATGCCTTCTGAGCTTTGGAAGCATAAGACAGTACAGTCGCTAAGGCATTGACATTACAACTAAGATACTTCTGACATATTAGAATATAAACAGTTCAGTTTATTACGTTCTGTAAGAGTTTGCAGTAGTGACAGTGTTTTGTATTGCTCTTTCTTTCTGCACACAGAAGCTTAAATGAAGAGAGCAAAAGGGTAAATCTCTTCAGATATGTTCAAGTGTGTGTGTGCATGCAGGGAGTGAGCAGTGAAGATAAGCTGACTATGGCCCCATAGGTCCTGACCTCTCACTGCTCACTCTGAATAAGATGTAGCCACGGGATGTCAACAGATTAAGCTGACTGGTTAATTCTATTTGAGACCAATATAAAAGTCATACTACAATGACCTGTCCAACAGATTTGTAGAAATATCTCTCGAAAGAATAGTATCATTTGACACAGATGGAAGAGAAAACAGGAAAGTCTCTCCACAGTGAGCAAAAATAGAAAGATTTCTACCACGAGCCAAAATGCTGGTCATTCCAAATAAGGTCAAGTTGAATCTCTGTGATTGGAGTAGAAATATGTGAAAAGGAGAAACATGGAAAGTCACATTATTGCTAACAACGTACAGGCATACTACAGTGTCTTTGGAGACGCATTAAGAATATTGTTCAACAGAAAATGCTGGTAATTTTCAAAAATATGGAGCAATCTTTTTTTCAAAAGATGAAGCATGTCACAAAGAGGTTAAAAGATCAGCAGATGAACTAAATAAACTGGCCCTGATAAAGTCTATGTTGCTGTTCAAACAGAAAGTGTTTTGAAAAAATAAAATGTCATGAACAAACGACACCACAACTCTTAAAAGTATTGACCCAATGAGTCACTATTTGACGGGCTGATTGACTGAGTGCATGTGAAAACTAGTGAGAAACTAGTTTTATAAGAAATTTTCATTTTTTTGTGTTTGTGTTTTAAAGGTTAGGTACCCAAACTTTAAATAATAATAACAAAACTGCACAGCAACAAATAAATACAATCAGAGGCTATAAAGAAGCAGTCACCGGGTCACAGAACTAACTGCGCATTACTTTCACGCTGCTGCCACTTGCAATAATGTCTCTGTTCTCTGGCATTTTGTTCAGCCTTGCCACTCATTAGCAGACCCCCTTCTAGCATCCTGAATAGAGAGCTGAGGCCAATACTTTGACACAGCATGAGCACTCTCCTGCCAAAAGGAACAATAACAGAGAGCCGTGTGTTCTGCAGATTGCATCACTGTCCCACAAACAAGCATCAGCCTGAAAGCACTATAATGCAATTATGCAACACAGTCACCGTGAGCGGCAAACGCGCGCTGGAGACGAAATACGATGTGACAATCTATGGCTTTGCAAGCTATGGAGCTATTTGTGTGTGTATAAGTTTCTTTGTGCTCGAAAATGTTATTTAGTGCAGACAACTCTTACAAAAGAATTAACAATCTTCAAACCTCAATTACGCACAATAACCTACAGAGACCGCAAAACTGGACATAATGGGTGCCTTAGCTCCATGAGTATATCAGCGCCTGTAGCCGTAAAGCAAGTCTTTCTTCCAAGTCACGTGACCTGGTGGCAGACGGTTAAAATAACTTGTGTCAACTCTTTAGGTCACAAAGTCCGCGTGTGCTTTAAAATTTCTCTTTTCTAAATCAGCTTTTTGGCTAATCCATGTACCATGCAATGACAGTCCATAGTCCCCATGTGTGGACTGTAAAAATTATGTATGTGCCAACTGGAACGGAGAACTTCACCATGATCAAGAGACGAAGACAATTGGACAGTTCATTTGACAAAAGTTTTTTGAATATCACATGATACAGCCACTTAAATTCAACAGCCCTGTGGCTATTTTCAACTACAACTAATTTGTTAAGTGATTTGATGCAAGGGTCCTGATAATACAGAAACCCTATCAGCTCATTACATTCCCCTTACATAGTCTGGATTCCCCAGGTAGCAGTTTTCTAAGTGTTTAGATAAGAAACATGATTAGTAAAAATCTATTATTACAACCATTAGTCAGGGGCCATTACTTGCTAGGGCTTCTGAGTTCATACAAACTTATATGTGCATGGGTTATGGTGCTACATGTATAGACTAAAGGCAACAACTCTTAAAATGCATGATATTGTAGACTTTTCAATAAATCAGTAAGTCAATATGAATAAATAATACTCTGCTTGAATTGAAATGAATTTGTATCCAACATATGTATCTCTAGATACACATGTATTTCCCTTCTCATAAGAGCTGCTGTGTCTCTGATTGCAAGTACTCCCAAGAGACACACAAAACCAAG